GGGTGGCCGCGGAGGGGGCTGAAAGTCGCGGGGCCCGTGGCGGGGAAGGGGAGCCCCTCCCTCCGTGCTCGGCAGTGGAAAGGGGGTGACGGCGCGTCCCAGCGTGGCCCGGCGACGGGGCGGGCCGGGCCTCGGGCTCCTCCTGCCCCGGGGGTCCGCTGTCCGGCGGGGCCGGGAGTCGGGGCGCCACGGTGAGAGCTGGGGGCCCAGGGGCGGCCGGAGGACACCCGCAGGCACCTTCTTGGCCGTGCGAGCGCTTGTCTCCTCCAGACCACCTCGCAGAGAGGGCTTCCCTGGGGGTGAAGGGCCGCGAGTCCTTTCAGCGTGCCAGTCGGCGAGAGTGAAAGCGCAAGTGGCCACTGCGGGACCTCGGAGCAGGCGCTGCCCCTCTCTGGGCCCCCGTTTCCCATCTCCCACCTGTAAAATGAGAGTCGAACCAAGCCCTCTCCCTCCAGCCCTGCCGCCGAGCTCGGGAAGGGGAAGCTTCCCCGCCCTCCTCGCCCTCCTCGCCGCGTTCCAGCGAGGAGCCGAACGCAAGGAGCCGGCGCCGGCTGCAGCGCGCGAAGGCGCCGCGAGCTGAGCTGTGCGGGGTCCCCGGGCTGCGGCCCAGCCGGGCGCACGCGCCCTCCCCACCCCGACTCCGATCCCGCGCGCCCTCTTGTGTCACCTCTCCCACTTGCAGTGTCCCGAATTCCCGTAGGGCGTCCTGTAAAATTAAAAGAACAAAAAGCAAACAAAAAAACCCTATAATAATATTAATGAAAAGTATAAAATGTATAGAGTTTTCAAGAAACTGTGTTCTACTTCCAGAAAATGGTCACTTTAACTTTGTAAATATTTATCTAAAATGATATTTACAAAACTGTGATATATATTATTTGATTGTATATGTACAACTGTAAATACATTTGTACCTCTCTTGTATTCTAAAATAAAATAACTTGGAACGTTTATTACTCAGCATCTGAAGGATCAGCACTTGGGCCTGCAGGAGGGGGTAGGCCAAGGCCCAGGAGCCGGACAGGGACCAGTGTGCCTTCTGGAAGGAACGGCCTTCGCACCTGGGGTCAGCTCCCAGACACAGGTGCAACGCCTTGGAACTGGGAAGCAGGGGCTGGGCGGTCGCTCCTGGCTTCCAGCTGACTCACACAGCCGCCTCTTACTCTTCCCCCAAATAGTTACTTACTGTCTTTTTCCATTTCCACGGATCACTTGAAGGCATTCAAGCAGCCAACAGGGGGGGCCTGAGATGGCCCGGAAGCACCTTCCCAGGCCTGGAATTTCCAAACGCTCTGGGCTTCCATTTCAAGACCCTGCCTTGAGGAAGACCAAGGACCAGGGGACCTCAAGGTATGATCAAAGGCTTCGCGGTTCCGAAAGGGCCAGACCCTGGCTCTCCTGTCCAGGCCCGCTGGCCTGGAGGAGGCGTGCACGCTGGCCTGTGCGCTCCCACCTGTGCCCCAGTAAGGTCCCGATGCTGGCGAGGGCTGCACCCTTCCAACCTTGGGAAAGCTCTCCCTGCGTCCTTAGCTGGCCCTGCACACAAGCGTCGCACACAAGCTGGAATCACACTTGTCCAGACCACCCCCACTTGGAGCTTCAGGCGTGTGCCACCAAGGATACCCATGCCTTTTTTTAATAATGATTTTTTGTAAGGTTTATGCATACAGAACTGGGGTACAGGCCAGAGGTGTGGGGGGTGAGAGGATTCACCAGAGACAGAGTGGGGAGCAGGTGGATCTACTGGAAAACACTGTTGAGGGGAGCTCTGGCACAGCATGTGGGTCACCCCTCTGGCCGGGATGGAACTTGGGCCTCAGTGGCTGCGACAGCTTCGTAGGGCTGTGCTCTAACCCGCTGTGCCACCAGGGAGGGCCCGGATACCCGTGCTTTTGAGAGCTTTCCCCCACAGATAGCTAAATCTTATCTATAGGTGAGAGAAACATGTGGGCATGTGTCTGCATGTGTATTGACATGTACCATCTACATGTCTGTAAATACCTGTATGTCTCTAGCTATGGAAGGGGATTACATTAACCTGCTTTTGGCACTTTCCTCCCCCTCACACTCTTAACCTTAGAAACCACCATTTTCCTAAGTCTTTTACTCTATCAAATCGTCTGCTATGTGACATTTGGCTTTGTCATGCTGCCGACCGTCTTTGCTACACAGAATTCCCTCGGACCCCTTCATTTTGCTGTAAGTGGCAACACTTCAGCTTTCCTTCTGGCTGGGTAGTATCCATGACGTGAACCCTGGAGGTCCGGCTCTGGAGTCTGTCCGGCACCGGCAGAGCTGGACATGTAGTGTCTGTCTCCAGATCCCACCTAGGGCTCCTCCCTCGGCCAGCAGGGGCGCCGGAATCCGTGGGACTTTCCACAAACCTTGTCTCTCCTTTGCAGTCTCACTAATGGGCTGCTGACGCCTCTGGTGGCCCCTGGGGTTGCCCTCTCAGCATTGCAGACCCCACCCAAGCCTGGTGTTCCCAGGACCAAAGCTTTCTATCCAGAATCTTCTGTCTGGATGCCCAAGCGTGACAGAGAGCTAAAAGCCCTCTTGAAATAAATGCTGTGCCTCCCAGAGTCAAACTTGCTTCCTGAAGAAGGGTCGAAAGGAGTCAGACATCAGCGAGACATCAGTAGGGATATTAAAAAAAAAAAAAAAGATTTACTTATGCACACAAGAATGGGGGTGTAGACCAGAGGTGTGTGTCGGGGGGAGGTAGGAGGGGAGGGTTCACCAGAAACAGAGTGGGGAGCAGAACAGGTGAATCTACTGAAATACACTGCTGAGGGGAGCAGCGGGGAGACAGAAGGGGTCTGCAGTGCATGTGAGTCACTCCCTGGCTGGGGATCGTGATTAAAAATCTAAAAGACGCTCTCTGGGTAGTTCTGCTCCTGAGTCCCAGCCAACAGACTGCAGGGACCGCAACGGGCTCCAGAACCCACCTGGCGGCAGCGGGCTGTCATTGCCAGCTGAGGACCTTACTTGCGCTAGTATTGGGGACACAAAGATGAGCAGAGGGACTGTGTTCCTGAAGAATTTGCAGGCTTCCGCAGGTTTCTGACCTTGTTTACACCTCTGGCAGAGGCGTCAGGCCCCTTTGCAGAAGGCTGCACCCTGTGGGTCAGCCCACGGCTCCCGTGCTGCCGTGGCTGGTGATAGCTTGACGGCACCATCTTTAACCCCTGCGCCACCAAGGGGGCCCCCACCATGCTCATAGCCACTTGAAGTATGGAAAAGTGATGGATCAAGTGAGCTATTGCCCATGTCACTCAGCTACGTCACTGAGTGGGGAGTCGCCATGATGTTGGCCTCGGAGCCATGTTGTCGCCAGTGGCCACAGCCTGAGCTCTGCCCCACGGGCGTTCTGCACGTCCGTGGGTGCAGTGTGGCTCAGCCCTCTAATGGCCTAGTCGCCTTCAGCTTTGAGAGGCTCACTTCACTCACTCTGGCCGCTGATTTGTAGATTCCGCACTAGGGCTTTTCATGTGCACGTGCATGGTTAGGGCAGCTCTGCATAAAGGCAGTTTTGCCTCTAAGTTTCTGATCAAAATGCCTTTTACTTCTTTTTCTTAGCATATTGCATGGTTCAGGACCTCCAGTTTTAGAGGATTCTAGAAGAGGCCACCTGATCTGGGTCAAAACCCCGCTCTGCCATCACTAGCTGTGTGACCTTTGGCAAATCAAGGAACATCTCTGTGCTCAGGTTCTTCATCTGGAAATGGAATATAGGTTACTTAGCTCCTAAAGATGTTGTGAGGATTCAATGAGATACCACCTCACCCCAGTGAGAATGGCACATCTTCAGACAGCTAGCAACAATAAATGTTGGCAAGGATGTGGAGAAAAAGGAACTCTCCTGCTCTGCTGGTGGGAATGCAAACTGGTACAACCACTATGGAAAACTGGAGTTTTCTCAAACTGCTAAAAATGCAGTTTCCATAGGACCCAGCAATCCCACTCCTAGGAATCTACCCAAAAGACACAAAAACACTGATTCAATAAGACACCTGCACCCCCATGTTTACTGCTGCTTTATTTACAATTGGAAAGATTTGGAAACAACCCAAATGCCCAAAAGTAGATGACTGGATTAAAAAGATGTGGCCTCCACAGCACGGGCTGGTCACAGCCACCCAACCCGATCGAGTGAGTCCTGGGGTGTGCACAAGAACAACAAACAGCACCTAACAACAAGTTAGGCAGGGGCTCCTGGGTGCTGAGCAGTCAGCATCTGTAATCAATCCCCCCCCCCCCCAGAAACACATCCCAGCAGGCTAGCTCAGAGGCAGGAAAGCTTAGGCTATCTGTTCTCCACTTCAAATGGTCTAAGGGTAATGGCTACAGGAAAGGGTAGGAGGGCAAGGGTGGACCCCAGATGACATGCGTGTAGCACATTGAGTCTTATTTATATTCACAATTCCCTAGAAGCTGGACTCCAGCTTACCACGCGGGGCTGGACAGGGGAACTCTGGGGTCCAGCTGGCGGCACAGGGGCAAGGAACAAGGGTGGGACAGACCCTCTCTGAAAGTCTCTCTGAGATGCAAGGGTTAGTCTGGTTTGCATCCTCACAGGGGTGCTGAAGCATGGGGGGTGGGGGGGGTGGGTTCTGCTCTAGTTGTCACAGGGCTGCCCTGGCAATCAGCAGTGACCTCTGGGCAGGTGGCTGTTGACCCCAGAGTGTGGGAGCCTGAGCCAAGCCTGGGGTGGGGGGCTGAGAAGGGGAGTGTCGTTTGCATTTCCAAGGCTCACTCCCAGGCCAGGGATTGATAGTCTTTCCCGCCTGGCTCCCCTGGGAGGGGCTGTCCTGCTGGGATCAGCAGGCTCCCAAGATGCCAAAGCATCACAATCCAGAAAATAGAAGACTGTTATTCACAGGCCCTGCTAAATACTAAGCAATTAGGAACTGGGCAGCAAACAAGGTAGACAAGCTCTGGGGGCCCACGGGGCTCTAGCTTGTGGGGGTCACAGAGGACAAACGCACACAGAGATGTAAATATACTGAAAATATGTCTTCTTTTGAAACACTATTTTCTGGCCGTCCTCTCCCGCCGCCAAACACAGTTCCCAGCACTGAACCAAACAGACACGTCCCTTTGTTAGTGCTCTCCATCCGGGTTTTCGTAGGGGCAGGTTGCACTGAACAAGCAAAGACGAAAATCCAGTCACAGGAGATAAAGGCGGATCAGAGACAGACGGAAGGGAGCGAGGGTTATTCCAGGCACCCTCCCTGATGTGCTGCCTGAGCTCAGGGCTGAGTGAGGAGGAGGAACCAGCCCACCAAGACCTGGGGGAGAGCAGGCCATGGGCAGCAGGCCAGTGCAGGGTGCACCCACTTAGGGTGAAGGGTTCTCAGCGGGGAAGTGGTTGAGCCTGATTTGTTTTGAAGAGCTCCCTCTGGCTGCTGCATGGAGACTGGATGTCGGAATTAGGGAGACAAGCCAGGAAGTGACCCCTGGTGGAGAGATGCTGTTGATTGATTTGGGGAACTAGCTCTGAAGATGTACAGCCTGGAGGTGGGTGGGGAATCCATGAACACCATTAAAATCACACAGGGAGTTAAAACACTCACAGTCCCCTGACACTATCTGGGCTCAGGAGTCTCCTGGTGTGTACGCTCTGTCCAGGGGCTCATTTCGTTCTTAAAAAAAAAAAAAACTTATTTATTTATGCACACAAGAACTGGAGCGTAAACCAGAGGTGTGGGGGGTGAGAGGATGCACCAGAGACAGAGCGGGGAGCAGCAGGCAGGTCCACTGAACACACTGCCGAGGGGAGCAGCGGGGAGACAGGAGAGGTCTACTGCGCATGTGGGTCCCTCCCTGGCCCGGGATAGAAGTTGTGCCTCAGTGGCCGCTGATAGTGTGATAGAACAGAGAATTTCACCCCTGCTCCCCAGGGGGGCCCAGGACACACTTCTCTGTGGTGTGAAGAGGCAAGGATGATGTGGGGATGAGGACACCAGGGGAGCTTGGAACCAACTCAGGTCTGCGTGGGACTCGGTGGCTCCCGTGGGGATAGCCAGGCTGGCCCCAGATTGGGCTGCCTGTGAGAACTAAGCCACACAGCAATTGTGAAGCACACAGCCAGGTGCCAGCCCCTCACCTGCAGAACACTGGCTCTGGGGCTAAACAGGTGTGGTGGCAGGAACATCACCCGGCCACCAATTGCTATGTGGATTCTACTCCTTTTTGGGCCTCAGTTTCTTCTACAGATAGGTCTCTGTGATGGACTGGACCTTGGAACCCCCTTTCGGAAATTCATACGCTGGCATCCTGATGACACTGGAGACTTCGGGGAGGCACTGAGGTCGAGAGGGTGGAGCCTTCAGGGATGGGATTAGGGCCCTTGTAGAAGAGAGCTCCACCCCGTAGCCTCATGAAGACCCTAGGAAAGGGGCTTCCTCCAGAGGCTGCACCCTAGGAAAGACCCTAGGAAAGGGGCTTCCTCCAGGGGCTTGATCTCGAATTCCCAGTCTCCAGTCTCCAGTCTGGGAGGCTCTAGAACGGTGAGATATAAATTTCTATTGTTTATGACACTATAACAAAATACTAGTCTATGGTGAGTCTGAAACAGTTTGGGTAAAAAGTCACGGGTCACAATATTTGGGAATTTATTCCACAGGTGTAGCCTTGCCAATAATAAACATGACAACCGGGAAACCCTCACAGTTGCCAGCAGGCAACATGGCCGCAGACGGTGAGCTCCCATTGGCTGTTGCTCTGAGTCCTCGCCCCACCCCGCCCCTGAGCCACGACCGGAAATTGCGTACCGGAAATAGTCGTTCCCGGCGAACTGCGCCTGCGCGAGGTATTGGCGCCAAGATGGCGATGGAGATGAGGCTTCCCGTCGCTCGGAAGCCGCTTAGCGAAAGCCTGGGCGGCGACTCGAAGAAACATCTGGTGGTCCCGGGGGACACAATCACCACAGACACTGGCTTCATGCGGTACGTGAGGTTGCGGTGTCGGGGCCGCACGGGGCGGCTGCAGGACTCCGGCACGTGGCCCACTGCGCATCCCGGGCCCCGGCCCGGACCCCGAGTCTCGGCCCCGGCGCGGTCTCATCTCCCGGCTTCTCCGCCCTTCGTAACGCGGCCTCGGGCTTCGTGCTCTCTGCGCCTCCTGTGGTGCTGGCAACGTTTGCTCGGCTCCGAACCTCCACTCGCCCGGCCTCTGTGGCCGTGGATCGTTCCCCTCGCCGGGACCCAAAGCTCTGGGGCCTTCCTCGTTGGAAACCCGGGACGCTGAGGGGGTTAAGCGCCCGGGCCTCTAATGCTCAGCGATGTGACGGGACGGTGGGCGTTTCTGGCACGGCCGCCCCTTCCCTTTGAGCTCCCTTATGGGCCTGTCGCACCGCGGGCAAATACACTGTGCAGCGTGCACCCAGACAGCCGACTTGAGTTCTGAGGCCAGTGCCCGCAGTTGCGGTTAGACTGTAGGCTCTTAAGTCAGTCAGGTAGCCACCTGGTGCCATCACTTGTGCCATCACGTGCTCATCAGCTGCCAGTTCCCTACCCTACACGGTATTGGCCCAGTCGCTGTTGCTAGGGTAGTGAGGATTAGACGCAAACCCGGGAAACAAACACCAGTGGTGTTTCAGCTCTTTTCTGGTACAGCGTTGATACACTGCCTTTGGCCCCTTTAGTTTGGGGTTGCTGGACCCCCAGAAATCTCAAGATTCAGTTCTTCACGTGCACATTGCACACCTGAGGTTGGGGCGTACCCAGCAGCGAACAAAGTGGAAATCTTGGAGTCTGTGCCCTAAGAGGGAGAGGCAAGCCCATGGAAGTGCCACAAACAAGTTACAGAGACGAGTGCAGTGGAAGGGATGAAGCTCCAGGGTGAGCAGAAGGTGCTTGGTGATACCGCTGGCGGCGCGGCTGTCTTCCGTGGGGTAGTGCTGTGGGCAGGTGGAGGTAGCCTTTGAGTTTGAGTAAGATGTGGGAGCGTCTGTGTCGCGCTCCATAGGAAGGGTGGCTGTAGGTAGAGTGCAGCAACAAGCCAGGCTCAGCAGGAGGAGCCTGTTAGGTTAGGGGCACGTCATCCTCATGGGAAAAGGATTTCAGGTGTCACCCTGGTATCTCTGTCTTCCTCTTGCAACAGGGGCCACGGGACTTACATGGGGGAAGAGAAGCTCATCGCGTCTGTGGCTGGTTCTGTGGAGAGAGTAAACAAGCTGATCTGTGTGAAAGCTTTGAAAACCAGGTGAGACCACAGGTGTGTATTCTCGCAGCTTCCGTGCCGCCGCACAGCCAGGTCCTTTCTGCTTCCCCACATCTCCCACCCTACCGCCGCCCTGTCCTGTCATTCTGTAGGTCTGCGACTTTGAGCGTGACTATGGGAAGGGGATAAAGGCGAGTAGATGAGCGCAGGCGTCAACGACCTCCTCATCTTACTTGGCCTCTCCAGACCTTGCATACCTCCTCTGCAGATTGAGGATGACAGCCCGGCCTGCCTTGTTAGTTCATTAGAGTTCAGAAGGGCTCAGCCCACACCATGGCCTGAGTTCGATCCCCAGCCAGGGAGTGACCCACACGGCGCAGCAGACCTCTCCTGTCTCCCCGCTGCCCCCCTCAGCAGTGTATTCTAGTAGATCCACTGTTGTGCTCCCCATTGTGTCTCTGGGGAGTCCTCTCACCACTCTCCCCTGCTCCCCCCTACCCCTCTAGCCAAGTTCTTCTTTTAAAAAAAAAAAAATTATTTATTTATGCATACAAGAACTGGGGTACAGGCCTGAGGTGTGGGGGGTTGGGTTGGTGAGAGGATTCACCAGAGACAGAGGGGAGGAAAAGAACAGGCAGATCTGTTGAAACACACTACTGAGGGGAGCAGTGGGCACAGCGGGAGAGGTCTGCTGTGCCCTGTGGGTCACCTCCCTGCTGGGGATTGAACTCATGGTGCAGCGGCTGCAGATAACCTCATAGTGCTGCGCTTTAACCTGTTGCGCCATCAGGGAGGGCCCTCTGTCCATGTTCTTGTATGCAAAGATAAAATCCTTAAAAAATAAAAGAGAATAAATAATAAAAACATAGTATTACCTCAGAAGGGCTCCATAAAGATTGACCCCGTAAGGGAAGCCAGTGTGGCTGGAACAGTGAGCAAGGGAGCAGGAGCAGATGCTGGCAGACCTGACTGGGAGGGCACCCAGCGGTCTGTCCTGCTGTGATGTGGGAAGCCCCAGTGGAGGGGGCAGGACAGGTATGTGATCTGACTAGGCTTTAATGCTCCTGGCACTCTGCTGGCCAGGGGGACGGTGGAGGGACAGGCTTAGGGGGACGCTCGGGACCGTTGTCTTCATACAGAGTGGTGGTTTGGACTCGGGCAGGAGAAGTGGAAGACGTGATGAATTCTGTGTGTATTTTATGCTCTGAATGTGTTTTTTGGTCACAGAGAGGGTGTTGGGTTTTGTGTTTCTGGGAATTTTGAGAGAGAGAGAGTTGTTTTAGGTCTGTTATACTTGAAAATGCCTGGCTGTCACACGCTGGGCGGCCAGCAGCTGCTGCAGAGTGGAACTCGGAGGGTGCCGTCCCCGGTGGGATTTGAGGCCGCGTGGTGGACGAGCTCAGCGGGAGGTTCGTGTGGGCTGAGTGAAGAATGGCCAAGGGCTGAGCCTCAGCGGCCAGCCCCAGGGCCGGCGCGTGTGTGGAGGGAGCGCGAGGACACTGTCAGGGCTGGTGCCGTCTCGGTGTCCCCCTCCGGCTGACCAGAGTCACCTGTTCCAGATGATCCCACCCAAGAATATGCCTTGCCTGTCACTGTCGTGCAGTTAACAAAATAGGGCCTTCAGGCTGAGCAAACCACTGGGGTGAGTGGTCTCAGCTGTGGGTGGGGCACTGCGCTCACGGGAGCTTTGTGGTTACAGGGGCTGACGACGCTGGTGCGCAGGGGGCGAATCCCCGAGTGCGGTGCCCGTCAAGGCCCTCGCCTCGTTAGGGTGAAATTCAGGTGCTGCTTCCTGTTGGAATGAAGCCGCCTCACTGACGGGCGACCCCTGTCTTGTCTTCTAGGTACAACGGTGAAGTAGGAGACATCGTGGTGGGAAGAATCACGGAGGTAAAGACAGTGTCAGCTTGGCTCTCGCAGGGACGGGTGAGCGGGCAGGCCAGGGCAGGGCCGCTGCCCCTCTGAGGAGTCAGTGCTCACGGGACCTTCGATGTAACAGCCGCCTTGCGGCGTGTGGGACTGTGGGTCACTCGGTGCTGAGACCGCTTGCTCTTGCGGTATGTGTCCAGGTGTGGAATTCGTTTGTAGGTTCAGCAGAAGAGGTGGAAGGTGGAGACCAACTCCCGGCTGGATTCAGTCTTGCTCCTCTCGTCCATGAACCTTCCTGGTGGGGAGCTGGTGAGGACCTCCCGCTGGCTGTGCGCTCCCAGGGCTCCCAGGGCTGTGGGCCCCTGGGCAGCTCTCCGCCTCTCTTCTTCCTGTCTGTCTTCCACTTGACCAGGCCTCCTGGCGTGGGCACCAGGTGGCATATGGTAGACTGGAACAGCCTCGGGGAGGGAGCCCGGAAGAGAGTGGGGGGAGCGCTTGGACGCTTCGTGCTGGCCTCTTCGGCGTGCTAGACAACTGTGGCGGTGGGATGGCCAAGTGGCGACATCCTGCTTCATCTCCGGCTTGGCGCATTGCAATGCACTCATGTGCGGGTCTCTGGAGAACCGTTCGCGGCAGCCTGAGGGCTGCTGACTTAGCAGGGCGGTGGGAAACTGACCCAGACATCTGGCCGTGGAAGAGTTAAACAAGCGTGTCGGGGAAAAGAAGGGGTTGATTTCCGTGGGAGAAGCTTACTGGGAAGACAGAAACTGGCACCCTCCTGGGAGCAGGCTGAATTTCAGGGGTGAGGAAAGAAATGTGGGAGCAGAGGCGGTCACGCTATGGGTGGCCTGGACCTTCTGGAGTGCGGAGGGCTGCAGGAGGGGGTGTGTGGGCCAGTTGCACAGGTACCACAGAAGGAGTCTGCTGCTCAAGGGGGGGGGGAGGGAGAGGAGGCGCTCTGGCCAGGCCCGTGGCAGTCAGCGTGGCTTCACTCGCACAGGTAACCGACGCTAAGGGTGTCGGGCCTGTCTCAGATTGTGGGGGTGGGGGAGCAAGAGGGAGTCTCTGTAGGGCTGGCGCAGTCACGTGACCTTTGTGCATTTCAGAGGAGAAGATCCGCAGAGGACGAGCTGGCCATGAGGGGCTTCTTGCAGGAAGGGGACCTCATCAGCGTATCCTGCTGCCTTTGGTGGGCTGGGAGCGGGCGAGGGCTGCGTGGCGCCCCGACAGGGACCGGCTCTGACCCAGTGCCAGGCTCTGTCACCACCTCTCCGGGCCTCTCTCTGCCTTTAGCCAGACGCACTTTGCCTCTTCTGAAGCGGAGGCTTTAGTTTTTACTAAGTAGGGAAACAGTCTCATTACTGCCCGGCAGTTGCGCTAACTGACGCTGAAATCAGTGGCAGCCACTACGGCTGCTGACACACCGTCTTCAGCAATCCGTTTGTGAAGCCCACCGCTTACAAACTACAGCATGTATGATCAGACTGGGTGGCCGTAACCAAAAGTATCTGTCTTGGAATACTGCAGGTAATGGCACTTTTAAAAACAAGCCAGTTTTTCTTCTGCAAACACTCATGTTATCTTGACGGTGTTCACTGGAACCCCGGGTGAGGGAGCGCCGTTCCTGTCAGCGCATCGTGACTGCCCCGGGAGGGGCTGGGTTGAGGTGGCGTCCCCGGCCGGCTGCGGCTCCGTCTGAGTCTGCCAGGTGCTGTAGCTGGACGCAGATGGGTGGGGCCAGGGAGGCAGGTAGCCTGAATGTGTTTGCTCCTTCATCATGCGGCCAGGCTGAGGTCCAGGCGGTGTTCTCGGACGGGGCGGTCTCCCTGCACACGAGGAGCCTCAAGTATGGAAAAGTAAGTGGGGCTCCGCCTCCCTGTTGGCTCGCGGAGACTTCACTTCCATTGCGGAGTCCCCAGAGTCTGGCATCTGACCACGAGATCCCCCAAAGTTAGCTGTACAAACTGGTGTCCCTCAACTGGTGGCTCGACAGTCTTGAGTTCGACGACTGCCTCTGTCCATTTTCCAGTAAGGAGGTTGTTCTGGCCGCAGACCCCCTGGGGCCGTGGAACGCTGCAGCTTTACCCTGAAGCCAAGGCTGGTTGAGGACCTGGGAAGCGGCGCTCGCCCTTGTCCAGACCCCTAGAGAAGCGGCATTGCCTGCCTGCGTGAGGCGCCGCGGTCCGGCCTGCTGGTGCTTGGCGGCAGCTGACTCCTTAACTGTGTTTTGATTTCTGAGCCTCTGAGCACTTTGGGTGGACCTGGCCTTTTCTAAGTGGAACAGAAGCTTCTTAGTGGTGTGGCTAAGCCAAGCACGCTCACCCCTTAAAGCCGGCGGAGCAGGGCCGAGCCTAGTGCGGACGAAGACGCGGCCAGCGCTGCTGTCCTGCCCTCGGTGGGTGGACTCGGTGCAGTCCCACCAGGCCCATGGGTGGACTTGCACCCAGCCGTTGGCCAGTCCCCTTGCCCAGTGGCACATATTTCGTGGGCAGGGTAGGTGGTGCGGGGTTGAGGGTCTAGGCGAGGGCCGTGGGTCGAACAGCGCCTCTGGCCTCCAGGAGGCTCAGCCCCGTCCCTAGTGGCTGCCGCTCCCTGGCTCCCTGGCAGCTGCGCACAGTCCGGGTTAGCAGGGAGGAGAGTGACTGCCGGGGTCCTGGCGCCCCTCCCGTTGGAATGTGGGAACCTGCTGTCCGCAGGAGTCTCCAGAGCAGGACTGAGGACTGCGCCTTGTGCGGGGCGCTGTTACAGTCAGGCCGGGCCCTCTCCCTGGCTTTCTGCTCACACCCCTGACTTCAGTGCCATCGTTTCTGATGTTTGCTTTAGCTCGGCCAGGGTGTTCTGGTCCAAGTGTCTCCCTCCCTGGTGAAACGGCAGAAGACTCACTTCCACGACTTGCCGTGTGGTGCCTCGGTGATTCTGGGTAACAACGGCTTCATCTGGATCTACCCAACGCCTGAACACAAAGAAGAGGATGCCGGGGGCTTCGTCGCCAACCTGGAGGTGAGGCGGGCGGCCCTCAGCTTGCTCCCAGTTCATTGCGTCCCATCGCGCCTTGACCGTGGGCCTGGCCGTGAGCGCTCACTCCCTTCCGTCCCGGCTCTTGGCCTCCCCTTGCGCTTGTCTCCTGGCAGCCTGTGTCCCTGGCCGACCGAGAGGTGATCTCGCGGCTCCGGAACTGCATCGTCTCACTGGTCGCCCAGAGGATGATGCTGTATGACACCAGTATCCTGTACTGCTACGAGGCCTCCCTTCCTCACCAGGTACCCCCGGGGCTCCCTGGCTCCCTGGTCCCTGAGCGGGCGTGGTCGCCACCTGCTCCAGGGTTCCCTCGGCGGTGCCAGCTTGTCCCCCACACGCTCGTCCCCATCCTGTCCACCGACAGGAACTGACGTGGTGGTGGGCCTTCGTCTGGCAAGCTGCTGACAGTCTGGCAAGCTGCTGACAGTCTCAGTGTCCACTGCCAAGTGAAGGGTTTCGGGGAGCGAGGGCGGTGGAACTGGCCCGTCACGGCAGCCTACTAGGCACACCCCGCCCCCCCACCCCCAAGCTGCTCATTTGTCCGGCTGTTTAGCTGGCCATGCCTTGGCCTCTGGTAAATGGAAGGCTGGTTTGCATTAGCTGTACTTGGTCTCCACATTGACTTGACTTGGAGGGTCTGCTGATGGGGTTTCTTTTTCTGAGCAAATACCTTTTTTCCTTTTTCAGATCAAAGACATCACAAAGCCAGAAATAATGGAGGAAATTGTAATGGAAACACGCCAGAGGCTTTTAGAACAGGAGGGCTGAGGAGCAGCGTCTGTAGGACTGGACTGGACTGCCCTGGGTGCTGGCTGGGGCCTGGCTGAGGGTGTGATCTCCGGTCCCACCGGCAGCTCTGTGACACCTTCCACACTCCTCACTGGCCCCTGGCCGCTACCTCTGGGCCATAGCCCTGCTTCTCCTGTTATCAGGCCCAGCTCGGGGACACGACAGTGCTTCCAGCCCCTGGGCCTGTCCGTGGTCTCTGCCCTAGGGGGCTCACAGGAAACGTCCAGAGTGATTCTCATCCTGGACTTAACGAGAGCCTTCGTTTGCTACTCAGCGATCATGACACACACCTGTGGAGTTGCCCCTGTAAAATCCACAGTCTCTCTTGACCCCCCTGTTTCGGCCTCCATCTCTACCTCTCCAGCACAAGTATGACTTGAAAGAAGACGATGGCTGAAGGAAGGCCAGCAGCCACATGGCAGGCTGAGGTGGCCCAGGCAGCCTTGCTTGTGGGGCTTGGTGGGCCCTGTGGCCAGACACCAGGTGCCATAGCCTGTGCTGCTCTTGAGGGCAGCTTGTAAGAAGTTGAATCACCTCCTGGGGATGGTTTGGGGTGCTGTGATAAACATGAGAAAGAAAAAATGAAACGCTGTTTTCCTCCTGTACTTAAAAGGATAACACGGTAACTAACTTTTGAAAAACCCAGGGCTAAAAGTAATAGAAACAAGACACTGAAGCTCTCCGTGAGGAATGCAGCTGTCCGTGTTGTCTTCAGACAGTATCTGAAAGCAGGGCCCTGATTTAGTTTTGGGAAATGTTTTTTACAGGCAGGTTTGACTCCTCTGTGGTGCTCTTTCCTGTCCAAGTGTGGCACTACTGTCACTGTTCCTGTTCCATCCTGTGGCACTGGGGGTGGAGCCTCAGGGTGGCGACACCTAGCTGTGTCAAGTTCTTAAGTACAGCTCAGTGTGGTTCTTGTCTTTGTAACATTTCTCAACACAGCTCATCTTGTGCTTATTTTCTCGCAAATGTGCCGCAGGTAACAAGTTCACTAGTCATTTTTGAGAATACATTCCAGGCGCTCTGCCTCTTGCGGGAGGGAGCTGGGAAGCCAGCATAAAGCCCTAGTTAGTTAGGTTTCCCCACGGCTGTATGTTAGCCCCCCAGCCCCGCTGAGAGCATTTACTCCCTCCTGAGCTGCCAGTGAGGTTGGGATAAATCCCCTGTGAAGCTCTGAAGGCCCCTTTGAGACACTAGCAGTACTCTCGGAGGCCCGCTAGGGGGAGGTGGTGACCGTGCAATTCCAGTAGTGGTCAAACTAACTACTGAAAGCCCTGCAGCAACATGGGTTACTTTGCTTGGTAAAAGTGAGGACAAGATTAGACTGAACTGCATCACTTAAGATGAAAAGAATATATGGAGTTAAAATGATTTAATTAAACATTTGGCAGTATTCTGACTCAACCATTTGCTGGACTCTGGATTCTACTTTTAAGCTTTCAAAAGTATTCTTCAGTGCTGTATAGAAAGTAAATGTATAGAAGATATGTTACAGTATAGGCTTGGGGTGCACCAAAAAGCAGAAAATGGTGAGAGGGAGTTGGAGATGAGGCCTTCAGAGCATATAGTCAGTCCTCTGCTTGACTTACAAGGCGGCTCAATCTTTGGAAAACCCAAGGGAGGTCTCATCTGATCCTCTTAACCGGGAAAGCATGCATCTGGCCCCCTGTAAGTGGGGGAGTGGCACGAAGTCCATTTACAACTGCAGGTCAGAAATGGGCCTACAGGTTGAAATAGGCCCTGGGGTACCACAGGGGCCCTGTAGGGGCTGAGCTCACTGATTTGTGAAGACCCAGCAATGTCTTACCTTGTATTGTGACAGGTGGTGCCTACCGCCTGTTCCTTGGGCTCGTCCAGGAAGTCTTCCCTCACTGCACTCCTAGTATTCTGGCACCTAGAACAGTGCTGTGCACACGGGCACTTGTGGGGTGAATTTGTAGCTCACGAGTGAATTAGATTTAATTGGTGTTAAGCTAAACTGGTGAATGAGGAATGAGCCTGTACAGGAAATGATTAAAGCATGAGTAACAAAGAAAGGTCCCTGAAAAGGAAAATAAGAATGGTAATCAGGATAAGAGAATGGGTAAAGGAAGGGGAGAAGGCATTGAAGTCTGAAGATCGATAGAAGTCAGAAGAGTATGTCAGCCAGACTTAGGAGAGCGAAGCTAAACCCATTGCCGTCTGAGTTTATAAGTCCCAGTGCTAAATTTGGGCACAAGCTTTTGTCTGCTTCATATCCAGTACCTCCCAGTGGCGAGAGGAGGCCACTTAACTGTAAAACCATGATTTCTCAACCAGGAGTATTTCCAAAGTACAGAGTGGCAGTGTCTGACACTTGTATGGCTGCTGTAGTTTGCCCCTAATATCAATAGCAACTGCAGAAAATAACTTGTCCAATAGATCAACACTTTGTAGTTAGAATCTGAACAGTACAGTGGAAGGCCGTGGGGTCTGAAGCAACATCAGCCTGGGCCTAAATTGTGACTGTCACACATTGGGCCAGTGACCTCGAGGAAGTCCCGTCCCTGCCGCTTTTCTGGCCCAACAACCTGGGCATTTTCTCGGATTTTTTTTTTTTAACAGTTTATTTTTATATCATTTTGTACTTTTTTTTTTTTATCTCAACTGTAATTCCCGCGTGTTTCCCATCACCAGGATTTTTTTAAATGACTACGGTTCACCTGTGAAATGGGGCCTTTAACTCATTGAAACAAATGTGGTTTCTTTGAGTGAGCCTCTTGATGTCCCAGAGAAAGTGAGTTCGTTAACCCTGAAGCTTCCCAGTCGTTTGTGTTTTTAACAATTATGTTTCTTGGGGAAGTGGGGGGTAACTGCTGGGCAGAGGGAGGGAAAGGCAGAAGGCAGCTTGGTTTCCAGGACCCAGTCAAATATCCTCCCCTTTAGGTTCAGGGAAGTAATCCAACTCCGGCTCTGGGAAAATCCAATCCACAGTTTTCCCCTTGCTTTGGCTCCTCGCCGGTATTGCTACTGTGCGGGGGAGACTCGGCCAACCCTGGGCCGAGCGGCCGATAGTCCACCGGCTCCGCGAGGGCGGGCCGGAGCCTCAGGAGCCGGGAACAGAGGGCAAGAAGTCGTGGGCGGGGCGGGCGCCGCGGGACTACAAATCCCGGCGGGCCCTGCGAGCTCTGCCGAGGGTGATTGGCTGGCAGCTACAGTCCCGACCTTCGCGTCGGCCAATAGGACGGAGGAGAGAGCCCTGACCCGGGCTCCAGGGACCAATAGCCATGCTGAGGAGGCGGGTGCTTCCTTACCTCTCACCTTGCGAACGGAAAAAAATCACAACTACAAGGTCGTGGGGGGCCCGGGCGCTCGTGGACCGGGAGGCGGAGCCGGAAGGCGCGGCGGCCCCCCGCGAAAGCGGCGCCAAGAGGGCCCGGGTCCCCGCGAGGGGCGCGCCGGACGTCGCCGGGGGCGGGGCCGGGGGCGGGGCCTGGCCTCGTTGTGGAGTGGCCGTAACCCATCATGGCGGCCGAGGGGGTCAGTGTCTGTCTCTGAGCGGCACCGGAGCCGGGGCCGGAGCCGGTTCCCGGGTCCTGCGGCTGAGGAGCCCCTCCGTGGTCCGCGGCCCCTGCCCGAGGGGGGAGGCTGGGCTCCGCGGCGGAGCTCAGGGAATGTGACTGCTCGGCGGCTGCGGCGGCGGCGACCACGTCGGGGCCGGGGGAGGGGGTGTCTTGGGCAGACCCCCGGGCCAGGGGCAGCTGAGGCGGCCGGGCCTCCTCCCCCCTCCGCCCGCACTCGCCTTCGGGGCCGCGAGAGCCCTTCGTCCCTGACAGCCCCGCCCCGACTCTGGGACCCTGGGGGTGGTCTCGATTTCCTCCAGACCTGGGACACCCCGTTTCCTGAGGCGTGGAGGAGCGTCGCCCCGAGTAAGCCGCCCGTCCCTGCCCCGGCAGCCCCCCACCCCCCGCTTGCCCGCGAGCCGCCCATTGGTCGACTCCGGGCCCCAAGTTTGGCCTTGGAGTCCCCCATTCAGATTCCCTCCCTGCTGTCAAGTGGCCTGCCCGACCCAGCTTGCTCCCGCGAGCCTCTAATGCCCTGACTTCTCCATGTCACCCCCGGCCGCCTTTATCTTAGCCCAGCCGCAAACTTTAATGCAAAGGAAAAGTCTGGACTGGTTTCACAGGCCTTTTAAAAAGCGGACTTAAAAGTTGCTGGCAGCGCATTCCTGCTCATCTGCGCCCAGGGCGAGCGCTCGCCGAAGCCCCCGTGGCCTTTTCCGGAGAGCAGGGTAGCCAAGCAGGGGCGAGGGGGCAGGAAATGTGTCGGAAGATGAAGAAGCTGAGCTAGGGGGTGGGTGACTTCCACAGGAAGCGTCCCGGAGCAGTTTCCAAAGACGATCTACATTTCCTTTATGTGTGGGACTCCATTGCCTGGCGTGTTACTGACCCTCTTCCCGCACCCCCTGTGAATATTTCTGTTTAGGTTTCTCTTCTTGAAAAGAAACTTCTGCAGCCAGTAAAAGACTTAAAACCAAGCAGCTTTTGGGTAGCATTGCAATGCCATTACTTCGAGTTGATCGACTGCAAAAATAATCAGAACTCCTGTTCACACGCGCTCCCCTCAAGCGCCGCTCACTTCTGTGCTGGACGATGCCCCCTCCGTGACACCTGTCACTGCCCGGCGGAGATGCGGTGAATGTGAATCTCTCATGTATGTACTGTGTCCCCTCTGCACTCACTGACCGTCTGGAATAGCCTGAACCTCTTCTGGAAAGGGGCGCCTATCCTTACTTTATGGGGCAGCAGCCTGGAAAAGTTCTTGGGGACCAGAGAAGGCCAAGTCTGCCTGCCCTGCACTTCATCAAAGGAGCAGGGAAAAAGGAGTCATCGAGGCATGGGGGGCCGCACTGCAATGTTTTTGTGGAGCACGGTGAGTCTTGCAAGCTTGCTGCTTCTGTCTTTCCTTCTGCAGTCAGCTGGAGTGTGCCCGGGAACTTTGGAGCAGCTGGTTGCCGGGTTCTTGCCAGTTCACCGGAAACTTGCTGGCTGTGATTATCGCTCCTCTGTGTAAGAAAAAGTTACTTAGTGACTCTGTGGCTTTATTCAGAACCTCTTGGCGTAGCTTATTTCTGACCCGATTCACTTTCTAACTTACTGTGGACCTTGGACAAGCCGATTCTCAAGGAGGTTGGACTTATCAGAGGCTCCTTAATTGGAGAGTTGGCTCTGACCTGAAGTCTGGGCTTGCTCCCCCCCCCCCCAGCAGGGCTCCTTCCTGGCTTTATCTATCAATCCCCTGTAATCATCTCCTCACAGTGGTTTGTTCCTCCTCCCCCCCCCCCCCCAGCCCCAGGGGCAGGGTCCACAGGATGTGGGTGACAGGAATATCTTGGCCTTTTCAGTTACGAGCTGGACTCAAAAATGCTCTTTGGAGCACGTGGGATGAATGAATGAGATGGGAGCCAGGGGCAGCCCTCGTCTTTGAGGGGACCCACTGCCGGCAGTCACTCATGGCGCCTGGAGAGGACCTTCCCCAGGGCTGGATTTCAGCCTTCTCACTGCCTTCTTGGGATGATATTTGGCCAGGAAAGGTGGTCATGAATGTTTTGATGACTGTTCACTCCCAGTCATCCTGTGTGGGATTTTAGGGCCGAGGCTTCGCCCCAGACCAATTCCTGGGGGTCCCGTTGGCACTGTGGCAGCCAACCCTACTTTGGACTCTGTGCTTGGTAGCAACAGAAAATACAGGTTGAGCTTGGCTGCCCATAAGCAGATGTCACTGTGGAAGGGCAGGTACTGTGCATTTCAGCCACGGGGCCTCTCAACAGCGGGGTGTCTGCAGCACACAGAGGTCTCTGTGGACTTGCACGGGATAGGTGAGGCTTTGCTTTCTGGCAGAAAAAGATCCACCCTGGCCAGATAATCTGGGCACTTGGATTTGATTTTGAAATATCACTTATATGTTAGTACAGCTTTTCTTTTCTTTTCTATTGTTTTATCAAAGAGTTCCTTATGTATGCATACAAAAACAAGGTACAGGGCAGAGGTTAGCACGGCTTTTAGAAGGGTAAATGTGGTCTTGTGGTGCTTCCCAAAGTCAGGATTTATGGTCTTTTTGACATTTTTAACTAGCAATGATCATGTGGCCTTAGCGCAAATCGATACAGACTTTTTGGAGAGTTTGGGGTGAACAGGGACCCAGTGAGCCTACCTCTGGGACTCTACCCTGGTGCAGAGTGATGGAGTCCTCTGAGGGGCGCTGATACCTCTCAATGGTCAGGAGGTTATAACTGCCTTAGTGCCTGGGCAGCTCTGATGGTGCACAGTAATGCAGCCCTGGGTGCGCCAGGCCTGGGGCGCTCACTGCGCTGACGCTGTAGTATTCAGCCCCGCACCGTCAGGGAGTCTGCCTCCTAAGGAGGGC